CGGTGGGAGCGCCGCCGCACTTCCCAAGCGGCGCACTATAGCAGTGCGCCACCGGGCCGGCCCCAAGGAACAATTATCCTTTAAAGCTCGCATAAATACACCTCATTTAAAGCCTATCATAATCCTAAACAAGGTCCACTTAAACTACCATGTCCTTAATAAAACCCAACAAAACGTAAGTTTTCCCTTGGAGAAAGAAGCGTATAGAGTCCCCTGTTCCAAGATGTAATAGGTGCAAGGCAAAAATATTCAACAATACAAAAATGTTTTAATTCCTTGCTCTTTAACTTACTAAAAGAATGACCTTGATCAAGTCACTTGCCTTCTCTGGAGCTCAGTTCTCTCCCCTCCCGCCTTTACAAAATCTGTCTCAGACAACCTTTGGAAGGAATAAATGTCAAAGTGCTTAGAATATTGCCTGGCACATAGTAAATGCTCCCTAAAAGTTAGCTGTTCTTGTTACGGTAAGTAAACTAGTAATGCTAGCACTTGAGTGCGCTGACAATAACTGTTGTGGGAGCCAGGCCAGGCAAATGGGCTGACATGAGACGGGGTGAATCACTTGCCTCCAAGTGGTGTCCCGAAACAACAGCCAACTCCTACAGCACAGCCCACCGTCAGGATATCAGAGTAATAGTATGGCTGCTACTGGGGGAGAGACAGACAGAGAGACGGGGAGGACAGGGAGGGGACACAGACAGAAAAAAGGAAAATAAGCAGGGAGGGGGAATAAGGTGAAATGAGAGGCCGAAGTCACAGAGAATCATCGTGGTCCCAGTGCCCCCTGTGAATCCCAGGCCAAGAAAAACTTGTGAGTTTGGCAAACAGGAAGTGACCTTATAACACAAATCCAAAGATAGAAAATGAAATAAAAGTTAGGCAAACATATGAGAGGCAGGTAATGATAATAAATCAGAGAGGGGCAGGAGATGATGGCATTCGTGGTGAGAAGTGGCAATAGCTAAATAGACAGGCAAAGGCTCCAGACTGAACAGTACCAATCAGCCTGCATGGAACAGCGGCCACTCTCAGAAGAACACACAGCCAAAAAAAAAAAAAAAAAAAAAATGCGAGTGCCTGGAGACCAGGGGCTGTGATCCACAATCACTCCCTGGATGCCCACCCACCAGTCTCTTCACTGAACACTGCCCTCTTCACCCCAAAGCTCATGGCAGATGCCCCAACCTTCTTCCAAGTCTGGCTCAGCAACCAAGGTAGGGAGGAAGTGAAACTTGCCTCCAACAGGGGCTGCAAAGCAGCATCCCACGCCCACCGCGCAGGCCGACACCAGGAGATCAAGCTGCCCAGGCATGGTCTGCAACAGAGAAGCGCGCAGGACGAGGGTGTGGAGGGAGGGCGGGGGCAGCATGGGAGAGGGATCAGGGACTACACAGGGACAGGGCAGCACAGGAGGGAAAAGTGGAGGGAAATGAACACAGAGGGTGGTGAGGACTAGCAGGGGTAGCACTGGAGCAGACCCGGGGACAGACCACCAAGTAGGGGCCCAGACCTAAAAGGGATGGGCATTAGGAGGCAGCATCGGCTAAACAGAGGCACCACGTGGCTAGATAGGCGGGCAGGGGGACGAGAAATAAGGAAGCGTGGGTTAGTGCGAGGCCCCATTTCAGTGTCATAGCCAGCCCAGCGCAGAGGCAGCTTCCTGACGCCCTGCACCAGCTGGCCCCTGCCTCTGCCATCTCAGCCTTACCTCGTACACCCCACAGAACATGGACATGAACTTGCTGAGGACAGCAGCACAGATGCTGGCAATGTGGACGAAAGGGCCCTGGAAGAGAGCAGGGGAGCCAGGGTGAGGAGTGAGAGGCTGCAGAGGAGGCTTTGTGGCATTCAGCAAACTCAGGACTCCTTCTCAGGGCACTGAACCAGGTCCCAGAAGTAGAGACTCCAGGTAGAGTCTTGCCGTCACTGAGCTTCCCCAGAGAGGAAGGGAGTGATAAACCGTATGTTATCATGTCAAATAATGCTAAGGGCTAGGAAGAAAATAAGAGGGAGGGGATAGACAGCAGGATGGACGAGGGTGGGATGGGAGCATGTGTCTAGCTGGGGTGCTCGGGGAGGCCTTCTGAGCCCACCACGGTGGAGCAGTGCCTTCCCTGAAGTGAAGGAGTGAGCCCTGTAGGAATCAGGAGGAAGAATGTTCCAGGCATGCTGGAGTGGTTGAGGGACAGAGGAAAGCCTTGTGAACCCACACAGGGAAGGAGGGTGGCCTGGGAGGACATTAACTGGACAGATGGGAGAAGCCAGCCCACCGCAGCTCTCGTAGGCCATAGTAGGAAGTTCAGATTTTATTTTAAGTGGGAAGGAAAGCCATTAAGAAGGTCTTGACCAGAGGTCAGATGTGACTGATTCCATTTCTAAAAGGTGACACGGGCTGCTGTGCTGAGTGTCAGAGGCAGTGGGGCCAGCATGGGCATGACTATAGAGCTGGGGGAGCCCTGAGGGTGCAACCCTGGAGAAAGCACAGTCTCTTTCCAGGTTTCAGTTTTCTCATATTGAAACAAGGGAATTGTCTGAATTATCACTAAACTACTGGTTCTCAACTAGGGGAGATTTTGCCTCCCAGGGGACATTTGACAATGTCTGGAGGCATTTAGGGACGAGAGGCCAGAGATGCTGCTAAATATCCCAACAGCACAGAATTGTCCAGCCCCAAATACCAGCAGTGCCCAGGTTGGGAGACTCTGCTCTAAGACCCCTCAGATCTGACATTTTGTCAATGGACCCCAGGGTGAGGACCTTCCAGAGCATTTCCCCTCCCTAGTGGCACTTGGTTCTGGCTTTAGTCCTGTCCCCATGGCCCACTTCTGCACCCCTAGCACTTGCTAGGTTTGGCTGAGTGCCTCTCCCAGTTCACACCTCAGTGATGCCAGACCTACCTCTTTCCCCACAGGGATGCCACTGCCCAGCCCAGCGGTCAGGGCGACAACCTTGGCCACAAAGGCCTTGAGTGTGAGATATTCCTTCAGAACAACTCCACGAAGTATTGTCTTCATTTCAGGGATTCCAGAGCCTGAAAGGGTTAAAAGATGATGTGCAGGTTCAAGCTGGAGGTTAAAGGGGAGAAGAGCACCCAGAGAGTGGAAATGGGGGGTGGGGTTGTGGGTAGGGCTGGAGGAGGGAGGCAGACGGAGCAGAAGGGTCTGCAGGCCAACCAGATTGTGTTGTCTGGTAGGAAGTTCTCACCAATAGCCTGGGGAGAGATGAGGTGACAAAAGAGGGCACTGAAGAGGATGAGAATGAGCGGGAAGGTGACCCAGACCAGGAACTGCAGAGGAAGGCTGGGCCGCATCTGGGCGTAGGTCCACTTGTAGGCTGCGGAGACACACGCCTGGGGTTAGGCAGAGCGTGGACGAGGGGCCACGTCCCCGGCAGCAGCGGGCGTACGGGGCACGGTCTCATGTCATGGGGCTCTGATTGCCCCTTCCGAGGTGGTGATACTCTCATCTTACACGTGGGAAACCTGAGTGGCAGGAGGTGAAGTGGCCTGTTCAGATTCCCACTTGCTTCAAGTGACACTGAGTACTGGGCTTGTAGGCACCTGGTCAGGGGCCTCAGGGTGGCCAACTGCCAGGTTTGTCCAGAACTGCGGGGGTTCCTGGGACTCAGGACTTTCAGCGCTGAAACTGAAAAAGTCCTGGGAAACTGAGAAAGTTGGTTACCTGATTCGAGGGATGCACACAGCTTGGGTGGCAGCAGGTGGAAGAGGCACGAGACATGGATGTGGGTCTAGGTCTGGCCTTGTCTGGGGCCACAGTCCCACCTGATCCCCTCTCTCTATGCAATACCCTCCTCCCAAAACACATCCTGCTCACCCTGGCTAGAAACTCTAGAAACAGCCTAGTGTGGGGAGGGGCTGAGAGTGCTGGCAGGTTAAACCTACCCTGCAGGCTCTTGGCACTGACATAGTCCATGCTCCAGCTGACCAGAGCCATCAGCAGGCCCAGAAGCACCAGAAAGATCCAGTCTTCCCCTAACTTTCTTCTCACCATGCGTCCCAGGCGGCGGACACAATCTAGGAAGGGAAAAGGGTAAAGAGAAAGGCAGCCAGCCGGTCACTACTTTGGGGGCATGACTGCAGGGTGGAGGGGGGATACTCTGCCCTTAGGGTCTCGTCTGCACGTCTTATTCACCGAGTGTCTCTTTACCTCTCTGCCAGTTGCTGCCCCTGCCCCTTTGAAAGGCACCAACGTCCCCATGGAAAGTTGAATTCCTTTCTAAAACTTATTTCTTGGGATTGGGGGAGGGATAGCAGAGGACAAGGCAAAGTGGGAAGGGGTGGGAAGAGGCGCCTGTTTCTTAATACTAGAGGAAGGCTTTGAAGTGCGTGCTGGGGGAGGAGAATGTGCAAGTTATTCTCCTAATCCCTGTACCTCTTTCTACTCCAGATTCCTTTATTCCTCAGTCCCCTTCACCTTGACATTTAGAATAGTGATCCTCATCCCTGCTGTCCATAGTAGAACTAGAGCCCGTCTTCTTGGGCATCCCCATGTCCTGCTCCTCGTCTGAGAGATGTTCCTTGTGATGGCCATAAATCTGGATAGACAGAGAATGGTCAGTGTCTGGATTGTTGAAAGGTAAAAAAGAATAGACAGATGCAGCACATAGACTCACAGAAAGAAAGAGAAACAGCTTCTTTGAACTGTGGACGTTGATGACTGTGTGCAAGATGACTTTGTGGTCACCCTGTCGTCAATTCTCCACTCTCCATTCACACATTTCCCACTCTTTACCGTTGTCCGCCCATCCCCATGTTCTTTCCATCCATTCTTCAACCTGGACTCGTCTTGGTCTGTGATGGCCTTCATCAAGAAGGCCGATGTCTACTTTGAAGATGCAGAGAACTGTGCTGAGACTGGGCAACCATATCAATTCGGTGGCTTTTTTGCTACTATGCTTTCTGCATGTTTCTACAATTTCCCCACACCACACTGCATTGACTTTCCTCCTAGGGATCGTAACATGGACAGGGTGAGGACAAACTGGCCTAGCAAGCAGATGATTCTTGGTTGCACTTCGCCCTGGTGTGCTTAGCCGCCCCTGAGGCACCCTGGGTCTTCCAGCAAGCTTAGAGCAAGCCCACCCACCTCATCTCCCAGTGCTTGTATGCACAAACAGGAACCAGCCCTGGTCAGGCAAGTCAACCTTTTTCTTCCCAGAGAAAGATAATGAAACTTCCACCAACATGTAAACAGGGCAGAGCAGCACCCCTCAGATCTGCTAGCCCTCCCCTCTCAGCCCAATGGAAAGCACGCATATGTGTGTGGGGCGTACAAGAGCTCTAGCCACATTTAGTTTGCCCCACCCCCACTATGCTAACTCCATCCTCTGGGGCCAGTGTCAGGCCAGGCCACGTCACTGATTCTGGGAGAGCCTGGATAGAAGAGATCTGATTTCACAATACGAGTAGTGAAGTTTTATGCCTCAGTCCTGAACAGGCACACACTAATGGCCCTGCTCACGGCTGTCTCATCTTCTGGGAGGAGGTGAGAGGCGAGTGATCGGAGGAGGCAGTGTCCCTCCAAACCCTACCTGGGACCCAGAGAAAAAAGACACCCCCAATGCAGGTTGCCTCAGCTCCCTGAGGTTCCGGCCTGGTGGAGATAAGGAAGAGGGTGCTTCACATCCAAACCTGGGCTGGAAAAACACTGCAAGAGCCAGATCTGTCCTGGCTGGTCCAGTGCTAACCACACCAGGGCAGGTTAGGGGAGGGGAAGGAGGAATCAGAACTCAAGTCTACCAGTGATGCAATGTCTGGGTTGCTAAAAGGTACGTGCGTGTGTGTGGAGGGTAGAGGTGGGAATGGGAAGGGCAGATGAAACGATATTGACAAGATATTGGTAACGTGGGAGTTCATTATACCTTTCTGGGAAGGAGGAATCAGAACTCAAGTCTACCAGTGATGCAATGTCTGGGTTGCTAAAAGGTACATGCGTGTGTGTGGAGGGTAGAGGTGGGAATGGGAAGGGCAGATGAAACGATATTGGTAACGTGGGAGTTCATTATACCTTTCTCTTCATTTTTGTGTGCCTGGAATTTTTCATAATAAAATTTAAACCAAAAAAAAAAAAAAACCCTTAAATCCAGACTCTTCTTCTTTGCTTTCAAGGTCCTGTAGAAACCAGCCAACCCTGCTCCCCAAATGAACTCACCAGTCCTTTCCAACATGAAGCTTCGGGCTCTTTTGGCCAGTTTCCTATCACCAGAAAGTGGCCTGGCTGCACTTTTACTCAAGCTGTTGTGCCAGCCAGATATGACCACATACACAGGTGGCCCAGAGCCAGTAGGGGGTCTTTCTGTCCAATCCCACATAGTATTCAAAGGGCAGACCCCACCATCTCCAAGAAGCCTTTGCTAACTAGTAGAGCCCTGCTTCCCAACTGATTCCCTGGTTCTGCCTTCCCAACTACCCTTGAGGTCTGGGCAGGGACAAAGTGGATCCTTTTGATGCCCAATGCAGAGATCACCTGCATGGTCCACCCCCCTTGTTCCCAGCCCTGAACCTAAAGGAACCATGAGCTCCCAGTTAGCAAAACCCCTTTTAAATCTTGATCTCCTGCCTCTCTGGACACGCTCCATTCTCTTTGGAGTGAGAAGCACGCTTACTTATTAATCACGACTTGTATATTTCTCCATGGCAATTTCACCACCTTTCCTTTATTTGTGCCCATTCCCATTTCCCTTTTTACTAGTAGAGCCCTGCTTCCCAACTGATTCCCTGGTTCTGCCTTCCCAACTACCCTTGAGGTCTGGGCAGGGACAAAGTGGATCCTTTTGATGCCCAATGCAGAGATCACCTGCATGGTCCCCCCCCCTTGTTCCCAGCCCTGAACCTAAAGGAACCATGAGCTCCCAGTTAGCAAAACCCCTTTTAAATCCTGATCTCCTGCCTCTCTGGACACGCTCCATTCTCTTTGGAGTGAGAAGCACGCTTACTTATTAATCACGACTTGTATCATTTCTCCATGGCAATTTCACCACCTTTCCTTTATTTGTGCCCATTCCCATTTCCCTTTTCTTTGCAAGTTTTCCCACTTCCCAGACTGATAGGTGTGAGCCATGCTACCAGCCCAGATTAATGGGGAGGGACTGAACTTCCATTTAGACTGTGGAGTAGGCAGCACAGCTCTATCAGATAACACGTGAGAAGGGGAAGTAGGCTGGGGGCACACGGAAGGTGGAGGTGGGGAGAGTGAGTGTTTCTCAGGGTGAGTCTGACAAGCAGAAAAGATGATGGGGAAGCACTCTCTGCTCTTCTTCCCTTTTCAGGTCAATAAGTAATTTTTGGCCAAGGACAAACTACTCTGTCTAGCGTCGTGTTTCTTTCACCAACTTTCCTAGGACATTCTTTCCCTATGAACTCCTCACTATAGAAAAAAAGTTGTACACTGAGCCAAAATGAACTTTAGGATCCATCACCCATGAGATCTGACTCAGGACAGCCCAAATTCAGGGACTGCAGGGTAGGGATACCAAACATCTGGTGCATAATGTAATTTTGATGAAGACTAAATGGAACCTCCCAAAGCAAGTGAGAAAATGGACCTTTTCTAGGTGCTCAACATCACTAATCACCAAATGCAAATCAAAACCACAATGACATATCATCTCACACCTGTCAGGATGGCTGTTACCAAAAAGACAAGAAAAAAGTGTTGACAAGGGTGAGAAGAAAAGGGAACCTTGTGTACTGTTGGTAGGAATGTAAATTAGTACAGTCATCATGGAAAATGGTACAAAATTTCCTCAAAAAATTAAAAATAGAACCACCATATGACCCAGCAACCCCACTTCTGCGTATATATCCTAAAGAAGTAGTTAGTATCTCAAATAGATATCTGCACCACCATGCTCATTGCAGCACTGTTCACAATAGCCAAAAAAATGAAAACAATGTAAATGTTCATCGACAGATGAATGATTAAGGAAAATGTGGTATAAATAGTATATGTAATGGTTCAGCCTGAAAAAAGAAGAAAATCCTGCCATCTGTGACAACATGGATGAACCTAGAGAGCATTATGCTAACTAAGTGAGATAAGCCAGACGCGGAAAGACAAATACTGCATGATCCCACTTACACGTAGCATCTACAATGTCAGACTCATATAAGCAGAGAGCAGAAGGGTGACTGGCAGGGGCTGGGCTGGGGGCATGAGGATTGGGGAGATGTTTCTCATTGGGTACAAAGTTTTAATAACTATGTGAGATAAGTAAGTCCTAACATTGACAATACTGTATTGCATACAATACTAGTATGATAATGGATATGTTAACTATCTTGACCGTGGGGTGATCATTTATACATATATCAATGCATCAAGTTGTACACCTGAAATATATATGATTTCTATTTGTCAATTATATACCAATAAAGCTGAAAACAAATATAAATCACCTTTTCTAACATCAGTCCTACAAACCTCAAAGCCTACCATCCACCTACAAAGACTGCAAATGTGTGATGATTTGAGGGTCTAAAGTTCTGTGATGATACCCACGTTTTATGCTGGCAGAAAATAAAGAAAGAGATCTGAGGGGTTAGTGTGAAATAAAAGGAATACTTTCTCGATAAAGAACACAGTGCCAAAGTGAAATTACATTGTTTAGAGGGCTTCAGAAACAGAAAAGGAAATGTAAACTATGTTCACCCCTCACCCCAACACCCCACTGGACCTAGTGCCTCTGTTCCTAAGAGGGTACTTCAAAAAAGTTCATGGATAAATAGAATTAAAAGATAATACAAATCTTTCCATGAACTTTTTGAAGTACCCCTGTATTTGGAAGGTCAATATGGGCTTCTGGGGAGTCCCACGAAGCAACTAAACGTGGAAGCAAACAGATAAGCATGCACAAGTGATACGTATCCTTCTGAGACTTTAAATAGATTCGCTTAGGGTCCATGATACTAAAAGGTAAAAACATAAAGGCTTATGGAATTGCTATTTGAACGAAGGTGATACAAAGTGGCCACGCAGGATACTACGTGAAGGGGGAAATTCTATGCTGGGGTATACGTGGTTGCATATAGGATAGCCCTATGGCATCCCCAAAGTGATTTAAGCATGAATTTTCTTTTGGGGTTGCACCCTTGTTTTCAGACTCCTACATCTTTAAGTCTGGCCTTCCCAGCCCACTGGGCAACACAACCATGACACTTAAGCGTATTTTATCACTTTTCCTCTGCTTATTCAGGTAGCCTGGGACCCATGCCCACCTTACTTCCTAAAATTTCAGCTAAGCAACTACAACTTCCTCTGAAGACACTCTCTCTGTCGAATACTTCATTGGTGGTCATCTTTCCTCGATTCCTTACTGGACCTCGCCTTCCCTATTCTTTAAGAATCCTCAGTCCTTTCCCGTGGCTGGCCTATTAGGCTTTCCCTGTAGCACTCAACAGGTCTCTTTCTCCCCCTTCTGGTTTTTCAAACATGGCATGAGGATTGGGGAGATGTTTCTCATTGGGTACAAAGTTTTAATAACTATGTGAGATAAATAAGTCCTAACATTGACAATACTGTATTGCATACAATACTAGTATGAGATAATGGATATGTTAACTATCTTGACCGTGGGGTGATCATTTATACATATATCAATACATCAAGTTGTACACCTGATATCAATACATCAAGTTGTACACCTGAAATATATATGATTTCTATTTGTCAATTATATACCAATAAAGCTGAAAACAAATATAAATCACCTTTTCTAACATCAGTCCTACAAACCTCAAAGCCTACCATCCACCTACAAAGACTGCAAATGTGTGATGATTTGAGGGTCTAAAGTTCTGTGATGATAC